TTTTTTTTTTTTTTTTTTAAAACTTACAATTTAAAATTGGGGAAAAAAACTTTTTTTTCCCGTTTCAGGATTCCCCCCCCCCCCCCAATCACTCCTAATGTCTCACACCAAGTTAGCATTCGAGTGAAACTCAGCAGCGCTCCGGCATCTTCCCCCACCCCGTCCTCCAGGCGCCTTCTGGCCGCAAACTTGGTGAGGGGACAGGAGCACGGGTCGGGGCCAGCGAGCTGAGTTCCTGCTCGGACTGTGCAGCTATTTCCCCCCTCGGAGACTTCTGTCTTTTCTCTGTCGTTGGGGCGTGTTGGGCCAGGTCGTGTTAAGGTTTCTTCCCGAGGTACGAGCCTGGTTGTGGTGGCTTTCCTGGGCGGGGGCGTGCCCCTCCCTTCCCTCGGCCGCAGGTCGCGGGTAAACCGGCCATTTCTCTGCGGAGGTTGCTCACGGCAACCGCCCCCTCCGCCGCCACCCCCGTAGCCTTAGTCTTCACACTTCTCCTACCGAGGAAAAGTGCAGCTCCTGACCCTAGTACCCTAGAGTCGCCTTTGACCGGGCGACTCTGCCCTCGGCTAAGTCCCGGTTCTGGCAGGACGCGCGGGCGACGCCCGCAGCGGAGAATATGTGACGCGCTTCAGTCCCCGCAGTCAGGGAAACCAGCTTCCAGTTCTCCAACTTTCCCCTTCTCGCAAGGGGAATTCGGAGAACTTCGCGACGAATGCGTGGCTGTCCAAGTGAAGAGCTGAAGGTCTCTACACAGCGAACGCCCCCCCACCCCCGCACAGGCTCGCGGCTCCGAGATCTCCTCGGGCCGTTCCCCGCCGGGGTCCCCTCCACAGCCCTTTCTCACGGCAGGATCCGGCGCCGGGAGGCTCGCAGCGCCCGCGACGGGGCAGCAGGCTCCAGGCGCGCCAGCTGTCCGGGTCCCGCTATTTCTGCTCCATCGGAGCCGGGGTCGGAGGAGTCAGGGCGCCCTCCTGGTGCAGCAGCCGAGCGCACCGCCGGCCGCAGGGAGGCCGAAGAAAGGTCCGCACTGGGCTCGCGGCCCTTCCTGCCGGCCTCCCCACTCCGGGCCTCGGCTCCCCTCCTTCCCGACGCCCGCCTCCTCCCGTAGGCTGCCAGGCGGACCCAGCCTGCCTCTCTCAGCCTTCACTACCGGGTCAAGCTGCGGGGGGAGGGAGGGGAGAGACAGCCGCGAAGCCCTCCCTGCTCCCCACCCGGCGCGCCCCTCCTCCCTCTCCAGCGTGCTCCCTCCTCCCCTCCTGCCAGTACAGTACAACTAGTGCACACACTCACACGCGCGCGCGGACCCTGCCGCTGCCACTGCAGCTGCCATGGATATCAGCTAACAACACACACCCAGGCGCGCGCGCGCGCGCCCACTCGCACCACGCAGGAGTGGCCCCCGGCATCCCTACCCTCCTTCCCCACCCCCACCCCAGCGCTCACCAGCTCGGCGACTGCTCGCTCTGGTTGCTGCCGCCGCCGCCGCCGCCACCGCCACCACCACAGCTTCCTCTGCTGCGGGGCCACAGCCTTGAGTGTCATTCAAGGGACAGCACAACCTCACCCAGGCTCTCCTACCTCTGCCCAGCTGTCCCTCTCATCCTCCCCCTTCTTCGTCCACGCTCCATCCAAAGAAGAGGGAAAGCACCGGACAGAGGGGGGGAGAAGGCAAAGTCTGCTCTTCTCACCCCTTGGCCCCCTTGCTCCTCCATCCTCTTTCTCTCACCACCAATCCCCTCTACCCCGAAGGAACCCCAGGAACTGAGTCGACTCACCTCACTGCCATGTCCAAAAGCTTGAAAAAGAAAAGCCACTGGACTAGCAAAGTCCATGAGAGTGTCATTGGCAGGAACCCGGAGGGCCAGCTGGGCTTTGAACTGAAGGGGGGCGCCGAGAATGGACAGTTCCCCTACCTGGGGGAGGTGAAGCCCGGCAAGGTGGCCTATGAGAGCGGCAGCAAGTTGGTGTCGGAGGAGCTGCTGCTGGAGGTTAACGAGACCCCCGTGGCGGGGCTCACCATCAGGGACGTGCTGGCCGTGATCAAACACTGCAAGGACCCCCTCCGGCTCAAGTGTGTCAAGCAAGGTGAGCGCGGCGGCTGGTCCAGTGCTGTGCCAAGCGGTGGGACCGCTCAGGGCGCAGGGCAATGGAAGGGTGGGCGCGCGTGTGGAAGGGGGTGTGTTGCGCGATGGTGGGGTGGGGTCGAGAGAGGACTGGCAGGGCAAGTGAGCTCTCAGGGTATCTGACTGAGGGGCTAAAGGGAGGGGAGATGCAGGTTGCGGTGTGCCGTGCAACTTTGTTTGCGCAGTTAGACCCTCCCTTTTGGAAGGTGTTCGGCCTTGTCTGTCCTCCTCAGAGCTCCAGGGCAAATTGAATGTGCGTCAGTGGCATCACCCGCAGTGGATGGAGAGCTTTTGGGGAAGGAAGGAGGGAAGGGAGGGAGGCAGGGAGAGAAAGGAGGAAAGAGCAACTTGAGGGTGCAGCAGCTTCACCGGCGGGGCTGGGGGGAGCTGAGAGTGATGGGGGGATCTGAGAACTGCGTCCAGTGTTTCGGGAGCTGGGTTGGAGACGCCTCGGTCCCCAGTCGTCCCCTAGGGATCCCTGAGCCACTGGCTGGCGAGGAAGGGAAGGGGCACATTGCTTTGGGCGCTTTGACGGATCTTCTGTAACTTTTTTCCTGCTTCACTCCGCTGTCCCCCTCCCCCGCCCACGGTCGTGTCATGTGGGCACCGCGCGTCACGTGCGCACTGACTAACCCCGGCGCTCACCCCTAGCCGGTCCGCGGGAGGAGGCTCCGGAAGAAGGCGCGGCGCTAGGGGCGCATTCTAGTGTTGCGGGGTCGAGGGGAGAGGAATGGTTCTCGGAATGTACTTTATTCGGGAGTTACCTCCCTTGAGTGGAGGTCCTCTGTGGTTGATTTAGGGGGCGTGTTTCTGCGGAGGAGTTGGATGGAAATGCCAGCTGGTCACAGCTCAGGCACCCTCAGTTCCAACCTGACTTTGATGAGCCTCAGTTGAAAGCTGTGATGTGAACTTAGAGAGACTGGAATCTTACAGAACGCTCACTAACTCTGTCTTTGCTTGCAAGAAAATTATGGTCCCGAAGGAGGAAAGAATGAGATAAAAGTTTGGATAGAGGACAACTTTAACTAGAATGAAGTACTGTATCTGTTTTCCACATTCGATTGCGTACCTATTTGTAGCTCACATGCACATTTCATGTGCAGTATGTAGGTGTATGTGCGGCACGTGCATTTCAATCTAAGGGTTTGTTGTACATGTTACATTGTCCTGACTCAAAGGTGGAGTTGAGCATGTCGTTGCCTGCATTTTGAACAACCACTTAATCCTACGGCACGGTCAACTACCAAGAAATGCCGTTAGGTAGATGTTCCTCACCATAAAATTATTCTCTAAAAAACGTGTTTAAAAGAGAAAAGTCTCAGGCAAAGTTTCTTAAATGTATATTACCATACAAGAAAATGTTTTTATTGGGAATTATTGTGTATTAATGGCTGATGACTTGAGATAGGCTAATGCAAACATTTGCTTGTAAGTCAACATAACTCAATACTAGTATGACACCCAAGAGTTAGGTAGGAAGGCAAGTAGAGTATCCTGGTGTTTTTCGAGAGCACACACTTAAGGCTCAAAGAAAAAAAAAATCACATTAACCTGTTTGATATCATGATGCTATCTTATATAAGGCAGTAGATATAAATGTGAAATTCTGGCTTTGAGTCCAAGAAATCTACAATACAATTAAGCACCATGGTTTTGCTGGCAGTAAGTTTAATATTTGTGATGAAAAGTGGATGCAAAAGTTAGTGCATTGGTAAATTGGACTAATAATAGTGTCCTACTAAGGGAGGTGGTTGCCCTATTAGAGTTTGCAATGATCATCACATCTTAAATGTATTCAATTCTGAACACTACATATTGAGCTAGACCTTGGCAAACTGTAACAGTAGGAAGCAATAATGGGTCCAAAAGAGAAAATAGAAAATTTTGGAGTATTTTAGACATAAACGGGTCTTTAAAAAGTTCATGGAAAGATTTGCATTATCTTTTAGTTCTGTTTTTCCACAAACTTTTTGAAGTACCTGCATATTCTATGAAATTCAATGGAAAGACTTAATTTGGGAAAGTGAGGGCAGGAAAGCTGTTATTAAATATTGAGAAGCTATAAAGTAGGAAAAAGAATTCTGATTATTCTGTGATAGTCTATAAGAAAAAACCAAGATGAATCTATAGAAATTTTTAAAGGATGAAGCATCCTTATCTTTATTAAAAAGATTTATATAACAGAGGTTTCCAAAAAAATTGTGAGCAATATTGTGAGTTGACGCTCCTGTCATTGTGGGTGTTCATGAAGGGATCAAAATGACCATATGCCATGGATTCCTATGTAAGATGGGGACCTGAACCAAATATCACTTATATCCTGCCATGATTTGATCCCAGTCTCTGATTGCTCAACTTCTGTGTTATATTTTATTTGGAAGATTCTTTTAGAACTCATGGAATACATGTATTTTATGTAAATAAAATGTATATGCATTATATATAAATATATGAAATTATGTACAAATATAAAGTGATATATTTAGGGGAAAATCTCCTTCCATCCCTTATTGTCCCTCAGTTCCAGACTTCTCTGGTTCTTTGATGATACATTGTTGTGATGATGTTCACAGAGCCCCCACAGAAATCTGACTTACCTCTTTCATCGCTATGGACCAAAAAAGAAAAAGAATTGCTTCTTTTGAGGAATATGCAATCCTCTTGTATATTCTTTTACATATAGTGATATATGTTCCCTTTTCGAAATAATTATTTTCCTTGTCAAATAATATATAGGTTGTTTTTACTTATCATTATAAATAAAGTGGAATTTTCAGAACCTTAATATAGAGCCAGTATGTCTTGGGTTTCAGTACAAATTCACTTGCTGGAAAATCATTTTGAAACCCTTGGCTCATTAATACTTCTGGAAAGCCAAAACACTAGCATAGCTGAAAAAGTTACACATGGTTTGTTTAGCAGTTGTATTTTTAAAATATTAATGAGATTGATTTTTGAATATTCACTCAGACATTGGAAATTATATGGAAACTACATGCATAATCAAAGCTAAACTAAGGGAGATTTTGTAAAGAAAAGAAATTTAAATAACAAGAATATTGATAAAAAGTGCACCACATGAAATTGCATTGTTTACTCAATTTTTATTTATCTTTTGGAATAATTTTATATTACAGTCATCATTATTTTAAATTATCATAATTTTAAAAGAAGGCGAGCTACTGGGATCTTAAGGCAGGCTAGAAGGCTAGATACGATAGACATAACACCTTTATTACGCTGTTTAAATGTCTCCAAAACCTTTTTTAAAAGCTGTTTAATTAAATTCAAGGAATTCCCTTTTTAATTTAAGCTGTCTGTTCTTAATCCACATGATAATGAGCCATATAGAGAAAATACCATTTATTGCCACATCCAATTATTTGTTATAAACTATAGCTTTTTCATTTTTTAATAATAAACTTTCCTCACTGAAGTATTTAATTTTAAAATAGAAGTTCTGTTCTATGTTCTCATTAATGCATCAGATCCAGTTGAAGAAAGTTTCTTGAGTGATTTTGTGATCTATGCTGAAGTGCCAAAGGTTTTTCTTCCTCTTCTTTTCTTTAAAGTTTGCTGCTAAAGTTCACAGCAGCTAGGTACACAGACCACTGTGTCCTACATTCTTTGCACTCTGGCTGCTAATGTATCTAATACCACACAGGGGCCGACATATCCTGGACTTTTTTTCCATTTAGTGTCTCACAATGGAAAATAAAAGGCAAAAAGGTTTTCTAATTCTTCCCATGTGGAAGATGGACCAAATAAGGCCTTTGGAATTCGGTTCTAGAGAAGATTTACATTGCTCTCCCTCCTATTGCTCCTTTCAAAGATACCTTCAAAAGAAAGTAGATTCACATGTATTAAATGTCATGCTTTCTTCTTGACTGACTTCAGGCTGGTATCATAGATTTAAACCTGTATGCTTCCTTTTATTTGGAAAGGTAAAAACAAATCATTTTAAATTTTCTGCCAGTTAAGATTGACTTTCCTCTATAGAAATGTGAGGTATATAAATTTTATAAACAATGAAATTGCTTAAACATTTTGATCAGTTAATTATTTTAGAGATGAAGTATCTTTAATGTTTGGGAATAAGGTTAATAAGACAATTCTCTTTAGGCGTAATTGATGAGGGATGCCACTGTAGTTTTGTGGTAAGTGTAGATCATTTAAATGGTATGACCTTGAATGCTACATATGACTATTTGCTTTTTATGTGCACCATCTTTGCTTTTAACATTTGCACTGTGCAATCTTTTGGCACCTGTTTTATGCTCACTTTCTTTTTTAGTCATTTGAAACTCACACATTAACTTTCATAATGGGAACAAAGTTTTCACATTTGGCATCTCTGATTGCTTGTAGTTTAAACAATGACTTTCAAACGTATAGCAGATCCTGTCAGGATCATTTCCCTCCGGAGGCGGGATAGAGTAGTGGTTAAATGTGCAAGCTCCTAAATAGAATTTGAATTCTGAGTATATCACTTAGTGCTAGCTATATGAACAAATTATCTGGCCTGGGGTAGTAGTAGTACCTTAAGAATATTAGATAAGTTATGTATTTAAATCTCATGGTGCCTGACAGGTAATAAGTGTTATGTAAAGTTTGGCAAATGTTATTCCAAACATATTGGTCATTTGAGCTAGTGATATTATGAAATTATTTTAACTTTCAAGATATTTTACTCTTCAGATTAACTGAAAATTATGAAATGATTGACTAATTAGTAGAATTTTTAAGTTGTGTTCTTGATATTTTTTTTGCAGAATAAATCCTTTCCTTGAAAAGCATTTCTTTGAAGAGTAATGTCATTAAAGGCAATGGGACATATTTTCTACCTTTTAGAAAATAATTCCCACTGATGCCATCTTTATGTGTAAAGATCTGCTATTTTATATTTATTTTATACTTTAGCCATAGTTTCTCTTCACCCATTAATTTGTTCCCTTTGTACCTATATTTTTCCTCCTAAACAGTTGGTGGATTGTTTACTTTAAGTGAGACAAGCATAGAAATCCTATTAGAGTTCATTAATTTAAGTTTAGAAATTTATTTACACTTCTTACAGGTCAGTATAGTTAGATATAAGTATCACGTTTTAAGACAGAACTTTTACTTCTGAGCTAGAAACCATGTACCTCATGTACCTCATAAAGAAAAGCAATAATAAAACAGAATTAATTTATAAGTATTCAGTCAACAATGTAGAATAAAAGAAATCAAATTCAG